AGGGTCCCCGGCTGCCCAACCCGCCGATGCGGGAGGCGTAAGTCGGCGTCATTTTCTGCTAATAAGCAGCTTTCCCCTGGGACGTTACATACGTCATGTTGATGTTCTGCTCTTTAGCCCTTAGATACTTTAAAAAGGGAAATTATCCCTAACTCCCTCCTGCCTCAAACAAGCAAAACACATCAACAGAAACACAAAACCTATGTTTTTTTAAACTTGCTTTCTTTTTCCGTAGCAAACAGTCGGCCCTATTTATAACACATCAAACACACGCCATCCTCGCAATCAAAACAGTTGCCCGCAGTAGAATGAAAACCTTATCCTTCCAGATTCTGGCGTATCAAAGCCTTCCTCTTCCTCCCTGCCACCCTCCGCCTCTCAACAGAAAGTTCCCTTCGAGAAATAAATAAAAAACCCCAACCCCGCAGATGAGCAGACAAACAGCTCTACCCCGGCTCCCTTCATCAGGAAAGAACAGGTCCAGTGGAAAAAGCCAGCCCACAAAATAATTAAAAAAGATGCTGTAAACGTTTTGAAGCCCAGAGGAAGAGGGACTGGGCGCAACACGACAGCCTACAGACACGTAGAAGCAGCAGGTAAGGAAAACCAGAGCTAACTGGGATCGCTGGTGCCCGGTGGAGCAGATCTACGGGTTGCTCTGCAAAACCTAAGTAAAGCCACCGCCGCTGCTCCAGGCGTGACTCCCTGGCATTAAGCGTAAGTTTGGGTCATCTTCACCGGTAGCTTTATCATCACAGCGTAAGAGGCAGCTGGGTGGTTGCAGCTCCACGGAGCCGACAATTTACTCTGTTGCTGCGTGTATATTTAAGTTTTAAAATTGATGGGTAGTAGATGGGTTTAGTCAGTCGGCTGCACTCAGCGGGGCTTGGCAACGGCAGGGCTGCAGAGCCCCAAAAAAGCCTCCTCCAAACCCACTCCGGTTCTAACGGCGTGCCCGGGAGAGGCAGGAGCCCGGCTGGGAAACACACAGGGGTCCTCCCCGAGCACCCCG